AAGGATTAGGGTAAGGATTAGGGTAAGGATTAGGGTAAGGATTAGGGTATGGATTAGGTATGGATTAGGGTGTGGATTAGGGTGTGGATTAGAGTATGATTATTGTATGGATTTCGTTGTTAAATATCACTAATACTTTCTTGCTTTTCACATTTTATTTAGATCGATAATACAGATTATGAGGATCATAAGGAGAGTTTCCGTGAAGATGATTATGAGGCACCACAAACTTTACTCCAACTCATGATTAGAAATGTACAAAATGAAGTGATTACTGAAATTTGGGAAGTTAAACCTGAGTTATCACAAACAAAATCTCATTTTGTTATTTTAATGGCAGATGGAAGTCATTCTTGTACTTGTAATCTCTTGATATCATTTGGCATTCCTTGCAGACACTTTTACAAAGTTCTTAGAAAAAGTTTACAAGCTAAATTTCATATTTCATTAATAAATCGACGCTGGTATCAAGATTTAAAACTTAGTATTACTGATCAGGAGGCTTTATTGGAAGTGTTATCAATTGTTAAAGATAATTATACTGAAATTACAGCTCATAGAGAAATTAATTTTGATTATATTCATTAAGTTCGTGGTGGTTATGTTTATACAGAAAAACTTAAGAATATTGTTTCAGTTAAAGCAAAATATGGAAGATCTTTAGGAATTGCAAGGAAAGCTTTAGATTTAACTCAAAAATTAAATTGTTACAATGAATTAAATGGATTACTTCAAATGTTTATAGACGAAAAACAGCAAGAATTACTTCAAAAGGACCAAACTATCGATAAAGAGAATAGTAATGATCATCAAAGAAATGATGAATCTGATATTATTTGTTCTAATCCAGTAACTTCAAGAAGGCGTGGACGTCCTCCAAATCGATATCTGAGTGAAGGTGAAACTGCAAATAAAAATAAGAAGCAAAAAATGACTACTGATTTGGAGTTAGAACGTATTCCAGAAAATAGTAATAATGGAAATAACAAGAAACAAAGGAAATGTAAAGGGTGTCAGGGTGTAAGTCATGATTTACGTAATTGTAAAAATTCTTAGTGAAAGAAATTAAATATTGTATTTAGATAGTTGTTAGAAAATTAGTTCAATTGTAATTTATTAATAAAAAATAAAATTTACTGCGATACTGCGATTACTGCCGCATGATCATGTGATTTATTTATACCGGTGAAATCACCTGTGGTGATAATTAGAAATTTTCTTTATATAATATAAAATATGAGAATATACTCACCTAAAACAAATAGCATCACAACTATTACCAATTTTATAACTATCAAATATGAAATATAGCAATTAGTGTACATCTACAATCATGTAAATGTATCTTATTTTGTATAAATCATCTTTAAAAATCATATTAAAAATATTCTCACATTTAATATAAGGCATCATGTATAAATTGTCAATATGTATTATATTATTATATAATTTCTAAATAAATATTCTATTTATTTTACAATACTTCATTTTAAAAACAAATTGAATCATCAAAATTTATAATCTTTAATATACTCTTAGTAAAGGCCATCCAGAGGATGGCTGTGAATATGATTCTAGTTATAGTAATTTAAGAATATCTCGCTATCTACTGATCCAATCAAGACGATCTATAGCTCATTGGAATCAGCTCATCAAGAAGAATCGAATGGTGGTAAAATCGCATCTTTATGTTCAATAGATGGCTTTCTATTAATTTAAAACTTTATTGTATACTATAGAGCGTTCTATCAACTGTAGAAATGCGAATTTACAACCAATCGATTCGTCTTGATGAGCTGATTCCAATGAGCTATAGATCGTCTTGATTGGATCAGTAGATAGCGAGATATTCTTAAATTACTATAATTATTTAAATTTAAGAGCGTAAACTTTTGTAATATTACGTTTTTAGTGTAATATTTTGAAATTTTACACTACCTTCAAAATATTACACTAAATTACGCCTAAACAAATTTCCTGATGTATATAATGAATTAACTTTCTTTACCATAATATTCTGCTTCATTACAAAGCATTTTAATATATTTTTTATTTTTATTATAAAACTTCACACTCTGATGAACAAAATAGAGATGATAAAATTTAATTTTATGCATTTTTTACAAGTTCACAAAAATAATTCTTTTTTTAGGGTTCTATGTAAAGTCAAAATGCCACTTCCAAATATTAAAAATCATCATAACAAAAGTTGTTCTTCATAGAAAATTCTACATATAGGTTCTGTGCTAGGAAAATCGAGGTACGAAAGGCGCAGTATAATTTGAGATAAACAATGATAAACAATAGCATTACACAATCCAGGCATTTTTTGCCAATAAAAAATGGTTCTAATTTTAGGTATGATGATCTACATCACATGATTTAGTTTTGTATTACAGAGAATTTTGCTATCAATTTAACCTTCCGAAACATTGTTACACTAATTTTTTTTTCTTTAATGGCTTGGACGACTTGAACCTAAACCAAAAAATTTTTGGTAGGTGTTGCGTCG